CCCATCCCACTTGAAGGGATGCACTCTGTCTCTGGACACATGGGGAGGGCCCAGGCCCAGCACAGGAAGATTTGTAGAGGGAGAGGGGACTTACATGTGAAACAAGCCTGTTGCCTAACTTGAAGTAATAATAATAATAAATAATAATAATAATAATAATAATAATTAATAATAATAAATAAGAGAAAAAAATATATAAAAAAAGAAAAGCAGTTGAATTTTTTAAAAAAAGAGTATTACTCCACCCATTAACTTTCTCCATAATACATTACAACTAGAAATACTTTGATTTGAACACGGCCTTGGCACCTGTATCCAAACAAGAACATTCTTCACACCTTTAAGGGGTGGGTGGAGGGCCAGAGGTAGGGAAGGGGTGAGGGAAGATTAGCACTGCAGCACCACCTGCTGACATCCTCCCACAAGCCCTCCCATACCTGGGGACTCAAGGAGACTCCTTGGTACCTTGTTACACCTAAGCACCTGCAAACATCTGCCTCGCTGAGCCCTCATCCACCTTCACTGCTTCAGGTGCCTCGAGTGCCAATACAGAGGCTTGAATCCAGCCCTCCAACTGTCAAAGGGGCATGGGAAATGGCACAAGGAACCTGCAGAAGGGAGATGAAGCTCAAGGGCACCCACACTGGCTCAGAAACTGTCCTCTATTGAGTGAGATCCGGACAAAGTGAGCATCTGCCTTGCGATGGCTTTTCCCTCATGGGAAGAGACTTACATCATCCATAGCTACTCACAGGTGAGTGCTCATTGCCCTCTCAACCAATGGTGAGTGAACCAGGATGGAGTCTGAAAAGGGGGAGTGAAGTGAAGGACTCTTAAAGTTGCCAGTAAGGGAAGTGTATATTTTCCATAGGGAAGAAGAAACATCTTCCTAAGCCAAAAACAGTGAAGACAACTTTCTCATGAGCAGAAATCACACCTAGAAACCTGAGACTCCCCTTGTTCCTAAGGCCCTTTGGCCTTTTGTGGAATTTCATGGCCAGAAATTCAGTTTAGAAGCATACCCTGTCTTTGACACTCTCAAGCAAATGGATCTGGCTTACCTGAGCTCCCATGTTGTTTAACACAGGGTCTCATATATCCCAGCCTGGCCTCAAATGCCCTTGTAGTTAAAGATAACCATACTTCTGATCCCCCTCCTTCCAATGCAGATCTACTTGGTACTGGTGATGGAAACCAGGGTCTCCTCCATACTAGGAAAGTATTTTACTAACTAAGCTACATCCAGAGCCCATGAAACTCCATAACTTGATTTGTAAAATAAACACATCTTCCATAGGATAGTATACTTTGGACTGACACAAAGAATCTGGCAGCCACTAAATGGAAGCTTGTTAGCATGAAGGGTACTAAGCAAGGCAACGTCATCTGCCTTGGTTCTCTCCACATCCACGTACCTACAAATGACCTGGTGCATTCCCTAAAATTGTCCCACTTAAGGAAACAGTACCATCTCCCTATTTCATCTGTCCAGGTATATTGAAATATTCCCGGTATAGATTGCCTCTGTAGTTACTAACAAACTTGAATTAGCCTTTGGGATTTTTTTCCCAGTGATTCTGGGTGTATGGGACTGGTGGGGAGCGAGAGCTAGAGCTATAAACAAATTATATAGCTCTCTAGGAAATTGCCTGGTGGATGGAATGATCCCTTCTTGATTTTTCTGGCACAACATGTGATCCCAAAAGATTACAAGCACTTTAGAAATGGAGAAGATGTTTTTATTATTATTATTATTATTATTATTATTATTATTATTATTATCATCATCATCATCATCACATTTGGGCATGCAATGAACCCCTACCACCGTATGCCTGGAGAGGTCAGAGGACAAGCAGGAGTTGAGTAATGGTTCACTCTTTCCGCTGTGCATTCCAGGGATCCAACTCAGGTTGTCAGGCTTGTGTATGGCAAGCGCTTTCCCCAGCAGAACTATCTTGCTGGCAATGTTTTTCTTACTGATGAGAGCAGCTGCATAACTTCAAAACAACTCAAGAATGCTAGCAGTTTCTATCACTAACTTAGTTTTGTCTATTGTTGGTACCACTTTTTATCTGATGAAACAAGCCAGATGTTTTAGCCTTGATGTAGATAGTAGTACCAGGCACAGGTAAAGGTAAAGATGTAAATGCCCTCATTTAAAGATGAGCCACCTCAGTATGGATTTTTATTGATCAATGGATGGGTGGATTGATGGCACCAAGGTGGTGTCAGGAAAGCTATTCAAGTGGTCTATCACTTAGAGTCGTGAATACCTTTCGTAACTTGGTCTCGAGCATTGTTTTTATTTGAGTTTCCCTTAAGTTGTTTCCTTGTACATTTTCTTTTAAATAACTCTTATAACAAATAATAACTGGGATAGTTTTTATTGAATACGCCCTTAAGGACATAAGAAAACATAGATGTCTCTGAAATTTGCAGTTCCAAAATTAGGATGTTTATGTGAGACACAAAGATCTTTTTTTAAAAAAAAAATATATATAACCAAAGAACTAAAGTTATTTACTCAATGTTTACTTGTTCTTCAACAATATGTTCCTCACTGAGTTCCACATCCACCATATGCTCTTCAGCCATTGCCTCAACAGGGAAATTCTCACTGGCAGATTGCTCATCCAGTTCCCCGGGAGGAAGGAAGGTTGCTGACGCCTCCTCCTGGGGAGGAAAGAAGGATGACTGCTCCGGATTAAAGAAAGCTGGGTCATCTGCTAAGAGCGTTTGGTCGGAGGGTGCAGGATAATCTATCGTTTTAGATCTTGACCTTTTTGTGTTAACTCGTCTCAAGTCTGAAGAAGCGTTGCCCCAATACGAGCCGCTCTCTGCACTTTTCGAAAAAGATGTATCAGATACACCTTCTGACGGGTGGAAGTAAGACAGAGTTGCCAACTCTGGGTTGACAGAGTATTGACTTTCATAATTTTTGTCACTAGAAAGAAGAGAACACACATCAAGAGTTACCTTTAGTTGTGTATACTTGTAACTCAAATCAGAACAGTTAAAATAGAAATGGATCCTGTCTGATGCATTAGTTAATTCATGGAAAGGGTAAGGGTTTTCTTTCATTGTGGTTGTATTTAATCCTTGTGTAAATGAACTATGAATGCCTGGCTTATACAGCCTGTCTCAAGTCTCAATATTAAAATTTAAAAGCCAACAATAAAGGTTGCCTGAATTCATAAAGGCTTAACAAGAAGCATAAAATGAAGCTGGGTTAGGGAAAACAAGCCTTTAACATGCAGGTTTAATGGGTCAGAGAGCACCTCATCAAAAAGCATTACAGTCAAAGAATGAAATTAATGATAATAGTGAAGATCAAAAAGTAATTCTGTGGAGCTTTAAAGTAATTTGACACTTTACAAAAAGAAGTTGTAAAGAGACCAGACTTTCAGGCTCAAATTGAATTGTATATACATACATACACACACACATACATACATACATACATACATACATACATACTTACATACATAATTATTTATATATAACATAAATGTTAATATAATAAATCTTTCTTTTTATTTATTCTTTTCTCATAAAATACATCCCAACTGCAGCCTTCCCTCTCTCCACCCCTCCCAGTACTCACCCCCCCTCCCCCTTCCCCCTTCCCTCAGATCCACTGCTCCTCTGTTTCCCTTCAGAAAAGAGCAGGCCTCCTAGGGATAGCATCTGAACATGGTATAACAAGTTACAATAAGTCTAGGCATAAACCTCATATCAAGACTGGATGAGGTAATCCAGTAGGAAGAAGAGGGTCCCAGGAGCAGCAAAAGAGCCAGGGACACCCAACTCACACTGTTAGGAGTCATTTTTCTTTCCAGACAGGGTTTCTCTGTGTAGCTTTGTAGAGCAGGCTGGCCTCAAACAGAGATCTGCCTGCCTCTGCCTCCCGAGTGCTAGGATTAAAGGCGTGTACCACCATCACCCAGCCTAGGAATCATATTTCTTTATAAGAAAAGATGAACGATTCCTTTAGACAAATGTTTAGGCTTCAGGGCATAAAAGTGGCAGATCTGTCTCTTTCAAAGTCTTAAGCAAAGCTACCAAAACTTTAAAACATTAAACCCCAAGCAAATGAGCAAATTGGAAGAGACTAAATGGCCTTTGTGCTCCAGGGCTGTTTTCCGGGGATGCAGAGAGATGAAGCATTATCTCCATATCCTTCCTAATCAACTGTGAGTTTATTTAAAATACTGGGGGCAAATATAGTGACACATCCCCTGAAACATGGCCCATGTTTCTAATGCATAAAAGAAGAGGATTTGAGCTGAATATCTTACAGACATTACTGAAGAGGGTCCACGTTCTTATCATTCCACTAAAGATAGGAGGGAGAGAATATAACCTCATGGTCTACTACTGAAGACTGCGGAGGCCAGGAGGCTTACCTTATATGTTTCAGTTTGTACAGTGTGGCAAAACAAAATATCAAGAGGGGAATTAAAAGGATTAAGGTCATCAGTGAGATTCCCAGCATTAATCTGAGCTTGATTTCCTCTAGCTCTGATAGTTTGTCTTCATTGGTAGTGTTCAAGTCAGAGCCTGGGAGGAAAGAAAATACAATGGAAAATTGAGCATTGTGCATGTTTTCCTTGAAGAATAAGGATAACAGAGTGTATCTGCAGTCTTCACAGTTCACTCTTCCTACCCCAAACAATAGCAAAGAGGTTTTTTTTTTTTTTCATTCACATACACAGCTTTTCTCTCTAGTCCTCACAACAGTCTTGGAGAAGATGTGCTTAATGGCACTTTATACACTCACAGAAGTTTGCAAATCTTCTGCTAATCAAAATATGGTTTTAAGCCCAAGCTACCAAGGACAAAATTTTTGTGTAGCAGCCCATCTTCTTGGCTTTACAAGAAACCATTTTAAGCAACTTACCATCTCTGAAGATGTAATTAGCCCAATTTATGAGGTGCTAGTTCTACAGAAAGGTTAAGGCGTTTGCCCTGCTGTTGGGCACACACTGATTATTCTTTTGAATTGGAAGTGTGCAATATTGATGGTTTCCTCTATAAGGCTTAAGAGATAAGCTTACCATTTTGTTGCCAAGACAATTAAACAGTGTGCTGGATGTTACAAGAAGAAATAGAAATGGTTTTTTAGATTCCTGAAAAGAGTTAAATCACAAAATCATGTCTGGCTCCAGAAACATTAAGAATCTAATAAAATCTGATGAAAATGTTTTCTTACTGTCACATTTTGGATTTCATGAGGACACATCTGCCAAAATATATTTAATGTTGACAGTTCCCTTCTCTCAGTTCTCCCATGCCCGCTCCCAGTGTTCCCAGGGCCTTCATTACTTTGTAGGTAATACTTAGGTAATAATCAATGACAGAGAGTCCCATGTCAATCTTCTCTGACTTTTAACCATGTTAATTATTGTGCCTGGGATATAGCCAGGTAGGGCTCTTGCTAGCATGTTGAAAGATCTAGGTTCAGTTCCTAATATCAACAAAGAGAAAAAACTTGTACTATCTGTGTGATCTTAAACCAAGTAAAATAAAATGTGTACAGGTGTCAATGACTGTTATTGGACTTTGAGACAAATTTAGGAATAATCAAGTGGATTATATTAAAATGAACTGCCCTCCTTAAAAGCACCTCTAATTCTTAAAGCCTTTTTTTTTGTTTTTTTTTTTGAGATAGGATTTCATTGTATAGCTCTGGCCATCCTGAAACCCAGCTCCCAAGAGTCTTTATAACTACGTATGTTCTTGGAGTTAACTCATAGATCCTCTATCTGCTGTTCTGCCTTCCAGAAATCAAGCTACATTCCCTGTCTGACACACACACACACACACACACACACACACAGAGAGAGAGAGAGAGAGAGAGAGAGAGAGAGACAGAGACAGAGAGACAGAGACAGAGACAGAGACAGACAGACAGACACACACACACACACACAAACAGACACACAGAATTACACAGAACTGTTGTGACCTTGTAGCTCTCACTGAGTTCTTTCCTGACCATTCTCTCTTGCATGTAAACAAGCACCATCTTCTGACACCTAGGCCCAAGACAACCTTGAACCATAACTTTACTCTCTTGACTAGAGCCTTTCTCTCTGCCAGGGGCCACATAGGCTGATGGAATGGAAATTTATCTTCTACCCAGCCCTAAACCTGTAAGAGTCAGATACTGTAGCACAAAAAATAAAAAGACCCAGAGACTGATATTGGGGTTCAAGTTTCAAGCTGAATATCAGAGAAGCAAAGCAGCCAATCCAGTAGCTCTTGCCTCTACCTCATCTCAGACCAAAGGGGTGATCCTCAGATTGCTCCTGACTTCACTGCTTCTCAGATTCACTCGGACTGCTATGCTCTCCTCAACGGGGCTAGAGACTAATCCTGAGACTGAATGCTTCTACCTTTTATACCTCTCTAGTGCTAGGATTAAAGGCGTGTGGTCCCAAGTACTGAGATCACTTTTGTGTGATCTGTTTCTCTTTAGGACTGGATCAATTTCATTTAACTCAGTGTGGCCTTGAATTAACAGAGATCCATTTACCTCTAACCCCTGAGTCCTGGGATTAAAGGTGTGTGCCACCTCTGCCTGGGGTTAAAGTTGTGTATCACCATTGTGTGAACTCTATGACTTGTGGCTGGCCTTTGCTTTACGAGTCCTCAGGCAAGCTTTAATAAATCATAAATAATATATTACTACAAGATACTCTGGATCTGAAGGAAGCTGATAAAACTGAAGGGTCTTATCCTTTAAAACTCCTCATAGCTGCCTATAGCCAGGGTGCTGTTATCTCTCTCGATATTCCAGAAACTGAAGGGTCTATATCCTTTCAAGGCCTTATCATGGCTACCTGGCAATGGACCATGATGCCCTCTCCTAATTGCTTTTCACTTCAGGGCCTCCTCATGGCTGCCTATGGCTCTCCTAACAAAGGACATCTGAAAGACAGTTTGCCACAGTCTCCCTTTCCTACAGATCCCTCATTCTTCCTAACACAGCACATTTACCAAAGTCAAGGTCAGAACTAGAGGAGGGTTTACAATGTCTAACCACTGGAAGTTATAGAAAATTAACTGCAGGGTTGGGTTGGCTTTTCCTTTATGTCTTAATTTCTTCATAAAACTGACATAATGTGGCTAAAACACCAGAATACCCGATATATAGTGTGTCTTCAATAAATGGTAGAAAACCAGTCAACTCCAAGTTCAGTCCCTTAAATGCTAAGTAGAGAGATGACAACGTATTTCTAAGGTGACTCACCATTTATCATCCCTGCACATAAAAAAAGACTCATTCCATTTTCTTAAAGCAGCTCCAAGGCAAGGGCTAGGTTTGTCAACTAATTCCCTACAGAACTGAAAAGACAAACCTCAGATATGCCACCAAAATTGATCTATTTTCCAATTATTCACTTGTAGGATAAAGGGTTTGAGAAAAATTAAAACATGGCCTTTCAGTTAGGAGTTTGGTTCCTGGTACCCAAGTCAGGAGGTTCACAACCAACTCCAGTTCTAGGAGATCTGACATCCCCTTCTGGCCTCCACAAGCACCTGCACACATGTCATGCGCACGTGCGCGCATGCACGCATGTGTGTGTGTGTGTGTGTGTGTGTGTGTGTGTATGTGTGTGTGACTTACCTATCTTAATCTGTTTCAACATTGTAAGTCAGAAGACAGGGAGATGATAATAGTTATTGGTAATAGGGCAACAAGAATACTTGATACGTATCATTTGTCTGATGTAGTCAATGTCCTCCTTGATGTGGCATTAACCACCTGCCCTCTCACCCACACACTCACTACCCTTTGCTATGAGACATTGTTTCCCAATGCAGCCACTAAAATTCAGGTGATATTCATGTATCTGTTAATTGAAGTTCTTTGATCTTACCTGGAATTGCTTGAAAGAATTGATCTTTATCACCCAATGTCACTACTGTTCCATTTATAGCTGTTAAAACAATATGTTGATGTTATAAGTAATATTCACTTACTAAAATTTTTGCATATGTATAAAGGTATATGGACAGTATTGAAGTCTGTTCTTATTATTCATTGTAGTATTGTTTTGTAAAGGGAACATCTCTGTAACTTATGTTCAAAAGAGTTTGTCTAGTACATGTGTATTTTCCATAAGGACCATTATAGAATTTAGGGATATTAACAAACCATTTAATACTATGCTTAGGAGCCAGTTCAAGGTATGACTGTCAGGCAAATAAAACATTTGAAACTGTGTCAATATTGACAAATGATCTTGAAGGTTCTACAAATATTGAATAACAGAGATCTTAGTCTCAAGTAGGTAATACTGAATGCAAATAAACAATATACAAATAATAATGGTCAAGTGAATATGATGTGTATTTTATTTTTATAATGCATGTATATGACACATACATTACCTATGTTAATATGTACTTCTGTATCTGCACAGAATATATGCATGCATAGGTTGATCTGTGCATTGTACCGTGCATGTGTATCTGTGTATTCATGCTATATACATTACTTTCATGCACAAACATACACTGATACTTTAAACTTATATGGGCATCTTTGTGTGTTCATGCACATGCTCCCCCAAACATGTAGCGATCACACTGGGTCAAAACCTTGCTTAAAATGATGAATCATGCACTTAGTTGAATGGTTTTGATCTGGGCTCATCTGTTTCTGGAGTCAAAGTTATAAAACAGGAAGATCATGATAGTTACTTACAACACAAGGAAAAGAAAGTAACTCCCCTATACCAGAAAGTGTCCTCTCTGATTTTAAGATACACTCTAGACTATGATATTTGTTGCAGGATATATTTCTGGGTGAAGAAGAATCAGACACTGCAGCTTTATCATTTCTCTGCATATTACATTTGCTATTACAAGGGGTAGTAACATGAACTTATCATTATCAGAAATACTTAGACCATTCTTTTCTTTCTTATATAAAATGTTAGAAAATTAATATAAATATAAATGTTAGAAATATTTCCCCAGTTACCCAGCTGAATGAAATATTTACCTTTAGCTAACATTGTCCAAAATGCAGGCACATTGGGGGTTGATGCTGTTCAAAAGAGATAATGGGTAACAGGTGAGACTCTATTTGTCTACAATTACACACTCACTCAAAAACCTTAAGAGAGTTATGCTGGATTGTTATGGTTTCACAAATACTTTATAAGAAACAATGATCTTGGCAAGAAAATAGAATGGTGATTTTGAGTTTGTAGTCTCCCACTCCCAAGACCCTCCCTCAAATAATCTTAGGAAACATTAATCATTTTGACCAGAGATACATTTATTCCTTAATCAAGAAGAAAATTTTACATTGTCATAAAATATTAAAAAATACCCAATATACTTATCATAGATAGATCTGAATATTTAAAGTGTATTATATATATATATGTCTATTCAAATATTTGAAAGTTCAGTTCCCATGGCTGGTCAGGTTCCTCTGAAAATGGACTCTTACATATTTGCCACTTAAAAGACTCCAGGGTGACTCTACATGATAGCAGTATGGATTCTTTAGGCATGCTATTCATTTATGTCATGTTCAGAGCAGTGAAAGCTAATTGCATAAGTCACATAATAATATGCTCCAGATATCAATACAGTGTAGTAATTTTAATACTTGGAATATTTTTATGAGTGGGTTCATTAGATTTGTCTTCATCTTCACCAATAGATTTTTCAGCTGTAGTTGCATTGAAGAATTTATCTAGGAAAAGAGATAAAGCATTTTCAGCATATTAAAACATTAAAGCATATTAAAACCCAAATGTCCAGGGTTTCCATATTTTTAGACTACAAAAGGAACAAAGGCAAGGAGAGAACTAAGAAAAAAGAATGTTTTTTTTTTTAATCAGAAATGAGGAGTGAGAAGGAAGACACTGGAGAATTGTGTTTTCGTAATTATGGAATACCCAAAGAAGGACTAATATGTTTGTGCTCCATGAAAGAGAGGAAAAGCAAGGAACTCAGGCCTTTAGAGGTAATGGTGAACTATTGGCTAAGGTGGCTCGCTTCGGCTGCCTCCCTACAAAGGCCTTAATATAACGTGTCCATGTGGTCACATCACTGAGTGTTTGAGCTGTATAAGTTAACTGAACAAAATAGTAGCATAAGGTCCATATGGGATTCCACCCCACTAACGGGAGATTTCTATGGAGGGACAGAATGAATCCACAGAGCCTACAAATCCATCATAGGTATCCTGTTAATGAGAAAGGGTAGGAAAGGGAACCTATTACTGAAATAAACATACAGACAGGACTCGAAACAGTTGAATAATCCAAGCTACAAATGCAAACGTGAATTCCTACTAAGGAGAAGAACATCCAGGTGCCTCAGTTTACCCCACTCTTCATGGAGTATTGGAGACTATGCTCAAGCATTTAACATTAGTGAAAGCTGTCCTAGAACTCACTGTATGATAGGCTAGCTCTTCTGGAATGTTCTTAAAAGGCCCACATGTAGAAGGCACAAAGTTTTATTCTATGCCAACTTTGTTGATGATCATCTAGTTGTGGGGTTGGAATCTAGGGCTTCGGATCTCCTCCTTGGGTTCTGTGGTTTCAGTAACTCATATTGTAGGAGATTTGAGGTGTCTGGGATTCTTAAGAGTCACCTAACTTATCCCACACAACTCAAGATGTTTATTCTACACAGCAAGATGCCTCTAGTAGTTTAACTAAGTTTATCCTAAAAGTGTGACTGCCACAATGCTTGGAATTGCTCAAATGCTCCATTATTGTCAAGTAAATTTATTAATAATTAGACATTAATGAGTCAGTCCCAGTATTGAAATGACCATAGACAGAAAGAGCTACTTTTTGCTATTTCACACCATTCAAAGTATAAAAGAGAAAAGAAGCCCCACAAATATGGGTTTAAGATAAAGATAAGTAAAGCCTAGAGTCCTAAATTTAGTTAATGTTTCTTTTCACGCAAACTGGAAAACATGAGCTTTAGCAATGAGAGACTCCATCTGCCTCTTTCATATTGGTCAGTGGAAGAAGGGTCATGGGTTGTGGAAGAAAACTTAGAAAAAACACAAACAGAAGATGACATAATTCTTTTGGCTTCCAGAAGCACGAGATGGATGCTAGAGGGGAACCCTTAGGCCTCACCCCTTTCCCTGGTGCTGTTCTGGAATCTTTCCCTAAGGCCATGCATGTATTGCACAAGTATGCATTCAGTACTTACAGTTCTTCAGAGCAAACTTCAGGTCAGTTGTGGCTCTTACAGATATTTCAGATTCCGTGCCATTTATAATTGGTGTGGTAAACACATCTACAAACATAAAATCACAAGTCTGTAGCAGCCAGTAAATCTCTGCTTGTCCACTATATTTTTTCTTCATGATACTCTTTTAAACTGTAAAAAGTATCCCCTGAATAATGAATATAATTATAAACAAAAAAATGTGACTTTTTCTTTTTCAAAGGAAGTAGATGGAGCAAAGGACAAGCTGAAAACTCGTAAGTAAAACAATCAATTATGATAAATAATTTTGAGAAACACATATTGAGGAAATTCATTGAAAACAATTATATAAGATGCCAAAATCAATTTGTAGGCAAAATGTCACTAAATCTTAACCCGGTACCTCAGAAAATGAGGCAGGATTAGACATAGGGTTGCTGAGAGTATAATTCCACCAAACCCAGATTGGCGAAGAGTATGCTCCTAATTGGGTTCGACTGATGTTATACAAGAGGGAAGTCTGCATATAGGAACAGGGAGAATATTACAGACAAACTGATGCTGCCACAAGCCAAGGCACACCTGAGCCACCAGAAGCTGAAGGAAGTTAGGAAGGGTTCCCAACCTTTGGGTTTGGATGGAGCCCTTACTTGACTGGTTCTACTTTGATTTTAGATATCCAGCCTCTAGAACAATAGGAAAATAGTTTTCTATTGTCCTTATCTGCCTAATTCATGGTACTTTGCTTCGGCAGCCTTAATAAATGGATCCACACCTCAAAGTAAGTTTTGGCTAACTTACCATCAAATTAGGTCAGTTTTTACTAAAGTTTCATAATGCCACGATAAACCACAGTAGACACAAAAAGTAGCAAAGATAGCCTTATAAAATTTCATAACTCCTCATGAAAAATGTTGTAAGAAATAAGACTTTAATTTTACATACTGAAATGTCTACAAAGTAAAGTAGAATTTCAAAACTGGGAAATAAAATGCTGAGAGATTACAAGGCAGGATTAAGGAAAATCAAATCAGTGTAATCATACATATGTTATGAACTTTAAAAACTTACATTGTTTTATGTCTTTGTAGTAATTGCCAGTTTTCTCATTAGCAGGAGCACCGTTTTCATTTTCTTCTGATTTAACAGTATTAGCATCTATATTTTTTTCATCTTCATGAACAGGGGCATCATTGCCCAGATTTTCATCATCTGAATAATACTGTTCTTCATCTGAAGGCATCACATCAGATTCCTCTAAAAAACGAAAGCATGACACACCGTAGAACAAAGTATGTTCATTTTTTTCTACTGCCTTCTCTCACTGAGATTTTTTCACATTTAGAAACTGCGATTTAGACGTTAAATTATATCACATCTCCAACTGTCAACTATCCTGCAGAAAATATACTGAATTTCTGTGACTGAGGGTCATCCTTCCAATGGACTAATTTTAAATGTTTACTTACGTTCTATATCCAACTGTAGATTGCTGATGTCTGGGAGGAAAATCCCAGACAAAAAGATAAACAATATAAAATCCATTGGGAAATTGATGTGATTTATCCAGCAATCTACTTGTCTCCTCAGGGCTTCCTTCTTGTGGCCCAGCCGGCTCTAAGACTCAGTATGACATTATGACATCACTGTTCATGGGAAACAGAATGCCCAGAGCTTTGTGACTCCATCTTATGACCGTTTCATTTTTGGTGTTACAATAGTTTTAAGTTTTTACCTTTGCAAGGTAACAAATGTGTTTTCAAAAATAATAATGTTAGTTCTTGGCCTGTGACTTATAAATAATCAGTCTTGTTGATAATGACATAAAAACTTTGGAACTTAGGGGTTTTGCTTTTAATGACATATGTTTTGAATAGCTGCAATCTGCTAAAAACAAACCAACAACAAACAAAATAAAATAAAAATCTAGTCAGAGAAAGCAAAACTCAAAAAAATCCAAATATACTTCAAGTTCTCATTCACAAACTGTTTGACTATAATTCTTTAAGAAATGTTTTATAAAACATCTTTTTTATTTTAAGAATTATTTTCATTATAAGATATAACATTTGTTTTGTTTAATACTTTTTCAGTGAGGTCCAAAACTTGTACTTCACATTTTTTTTCAAGATTTTATTTATTATGTATACAGTCTTCTGCCTGCATGCCAGCAGAGGGCACCAGATCTCATTCAAGGTGGTTGTGAGCCGCCATGTGGTTGCCGGGAATTGAACACAGGACCTCTGAAAGAATAGTCAGTGCTCTTAACCTCTGAGCCATCTCTCCAGCTCCAAAATTATCTAATAATACTTAGCTAGTTAAAAGGTGCCTCCAGTATGAATAGCCTTGTGCATGATTACTTACATAATAACAATTAATGAGCAATAAAGACAGAGAATAGACTGACATTATTACAGGATCGCCTAAATTTGAAGTGTGTTAACTTTTTATTTATTATTAATGATAACCCCTCCACATTGGATGATAGTCACACTTAAAACATAAGTACCAGGAAAGACAGAATAGTGTCATGGGACTTTATGTTTGTCTTCAGTGAAGGGGAAAGCTGTAAGTGAAGTACAACCTGTGGTCCTTCACTAATGGTGCCTGGTGACATGGAAGACAGAGTCAGTAGAGAATAATTGCTCATGAGGATAAAAGAAGCAAAGATGATGTGTCCAAAGGAAAGATGGCAAAGCAAGCAAGGCTCTTGACCAAATTTTTAGTCAACCAAAGGGAAATGACTCCAAATTTAGCACTGGACTCTTCCCATCATCTCAAGTAAGAACCTGAAGGTGGAAAAGACTCAGCTGGCAAATCTCTAGAGGGCTTTCTTTCCTCTAGTGTAGCGGTTCTCAGCCCGTGGGTCTCGTCCCCTTTGGGTATCAAATGAACCATCAGATATCCTGCATATCAGATATTTATGTTATGACTCACAAGAGTCAAAAATTACAGTTATGAAGTAGCAATGAAATAATTTTATGGTTGGGGGTTCACCATAACATGAAGAACTCTGTTAAAGGGTCACAGTATTAGGAAGACTAAGATCCATTCCTCTAGAGCCTATCTAACATGGTTCAACACACGAAATCAGAGAATCAGGAAGCAGACATGCCTCATGTTGCTTCAAGCCATTGAACACCTTTGGATGAAGAACTAACCTATGATGAAATTTGACAGACATCCTGGGGATATGGAACATAATAAAACCATATTATGCCTGGTGGTACAGAGGAGGCAGAGCTGGATAAAAATGTTTACCCAAGTCTACACAAATCTTGGCAGGTAGCAAATGATCTATGAAATAATGTGGCATTGTATTTAGTTCAGGAATCCCTAAACACCAAAAATCAATTTGGCATTTTGAGGATACAAATGGAATTTTCTTTATTGTTTCATCATCTCTCTTTCTCTCTCCACTGAGTCCTCCCAGAATAACCATGCTTTTTCTTTGAAACAGGGTTTCTCTGCATAGCCTTTGCTGTGCTAGAACTTATGTAGATGAGGCTGGTCTCAAACTCAAAGAGGTTCACCTGCCTCTGCCTCCTGAGTACTGCCCTTTTTACTTTCTGATGGGACAAATACTTTCCATAGGAAACTGAGTTGCTAGAATGCAAATACAACAGGTTACATAGATAAGACTTCATGAAACTAAGATGCTTAAATGCTGGCCCTAATTTCCTGTCTCAGAACAGTACCATTTCTAGAATATATTGTGTACTTCCACACTCGTGCTGAGTAGGTACCCTAGCAACTCCCTGAACCACACTCTCTGGGAACCCAGAGGAAGTGCAGTGGTACTATATGCTGGGACCTGAGCAACAGAGAACCTCATGACTGTGAGAAAACTGAATCAGAACCCTGGAGTATCTAGTGAGTTGAAAACTGGTAAGAACCAGCATCTACGAGGCAACTGACACAAGTTCACAGTGTGCATACCTGGCATTGGGAAGGAACACCCAGTGGCATGGACAGCATTCACACATGACCTGGGAGGGACAAACAAGGGGTCTAATCCAGCATTTGTGACCTGCCTGACCCAAGAAGGCTGTATTTCCTAAGCCTGTCCCATTAAACTCCAGTACAGTGAAATGGCCTACAGAAAGCTGGCACCATCAACTGGTTTGGAAAACACTTGTAATGCCTTCCTTTAGACGACCTTTAGTCTAAAGGCTCAGAACAAACTCCAGCAAGAACCCCTTTTAAAATGTTTCCATTTCAAATGTTAACAAGCTTTTTTTTTTCTTACGACGAACTAATTTGATAAGAGTATTTGCATGTAGACTAAGAACGCTCAGCAGGAATAGCGATGAAAATGTTAACTATGTCAGGTTGACTTTGCAGTGGGTTTTTACAAACTTGTGTGTGCACAAGCACAGGTCGTGTGCATGCATCTCTGTGCACATGCATGTGGAAGCAGCCAGAGGAGAGTCTTGGATGTCATCCTCAGAAACACTGTGCATATCCTCTCTCTCCCATCTCCTGTGTTCCTCTTACTCCTCAATCTCTCATTCTCTCTCTTCCTGTCTTCTCTCTCCACTCTCTCCTCTCGCCGTCTCTATTCTCTCTTCTCTTTCCTATGTCCTTCCCACCTCTATGCTCCTAACCTATGCTTTCTCCTGTCTCTTCCTTTCCTGCTCTCTCTTCTCTCCCTTTTATCTCTCACTTCCCTTTACTCACTTGTTTCTCTCCCCTCTATCTCTTCTCTCTCTCTCTTTCTCACTCTCTCTCTTCTCTCTGCTCTTTCTTGTCTTGTTCTCCTCATTCTCTTGCTCTCTGTCTTTTCTCTCCTCCTCTCTTACCTGCCTTTCTCTTCTCCCTCTCATCTCTCTCTCTTCTCTTCCCCCTCTCCATCTCTCTGTCCTTTGCCAATCCTCTCTCCCATCTCTTCTCTTTCTCTTGTTCTTATTCCTCTCTCTCCCATCTCATTCTCCACTCTCTACCTTCCCACACCCCTTCTCTTACTCCCCACTCTCATCTCTCTTACATTTCACTCTTCCCTTTCTCTATCTCCTACCTCTCCCCATCTCCTCTCTCCAACGTTCCTCTCTCCTCTGTCTTTTCTCCCCTCTCTATAATCTATCCTATCTCTCCTTCTCCTCCTCCCTCATCACACTGTTTCTCTCTCTTCTCTCCTCCCCTTCCACATCTCCCCTTTATCTCCTTCCCCTACATCCTCTTTCCTCTCCAACTCTTCACTCTCTCCTATCTTTCCCTCTCTCATATTTTCTCCCCACTCTCTCACTTCCTGCCCTCTCTGTACTCTCTTCTTTCCCCCTATCTCTCAATACACTCTTGACTCTCTTCAATCCCTCAATTTCTCCTCCTTCCCTCCCACTCCGTTCCCCGTCCTCTCACCCCTCTTCTACTTCTCACTGTATTCTTTATTATCTTTCTCTACCCTTACCCTCACCCCTTCTCTCTTTCCCTTCTCTCCTTTCTTTTTCAACTCTCACACTTATATCTCACTTTCCCTTGTCCTGTTTCTGTCTACTCTCCTTTCTTTACTGTCTCTACCTCTTTCTCCATGCTCTCTTTCTCTCTCCTCTTGTTTCCCCTCTCACTGCTATCTCCTCTCTCTCTCTCTCTCTCTCTCTCTCTCTCTCTCTCTCTCTCTCTCTCTCTCTCTCTCTCTCTCTCTCTCTCTCCCTCCCTCCCCTAATGTGCATTAACAACATAGCAGAAGGATGCACTTGTAAAGATTTTCAAATACCTGAAGTAGAACAGCAGGTCACATTTTGTAACAGTGAAGCTTTTTACTGGGATATACAAGTACACACTGCAAATAGAGGCTATGGTGCAGCAGCAATAATGAGAAAGAAAGACAGGAGGAAGAGAGGAGAGTGAGGAAAATCACAGGGGAGAGAGGAAATGGAGAGAGAACACAGGGGATGGTGAGAGAGGAGAGAGTGATGTGGGAATCAGGGACAGAGATAGAAGAGGGGCAGAAAGAAGGGGGTTTAAATGGATTTTTTCTTTGGACTGTCTGCTCATAAGAAATGATACAGACATTATTAATTATGAAAGCTCAGCATATAGCTTACGCTTGTCCCATTAGTTCTTATAACTCAAACTAAACCATTTCTATTAATCTACATGTTGCCATATGACTTGTGGCTTTTCCCTCTTCTCCTAAATGTCTCGTGTCTGCTAGTGACTCCTCCTTTCTTCTTCCCAGGGTTCCTGTGCCCAGAAGTTCCACTTAATCTATTCCTGCCTAGCTAATGGCCAACCAGCTCTTTATTAAACCAACCACAGTGACATATTGTAAAGGAATATTCCACAACAGAGGAGTGAGAGAAATGAGATGGAAGAAATGGGAAAGAGAGAAGGAGAGAGGGACAAGTGAGAGAGAAGAGACAGGGAAAAAAATAGGAGAGGGGTGAGAGGAAGTGAAGAAAGAAGAGACGAATTAAGAAGAGAAAGGGGGTAAAGAGACAATGAGAGACAAGACAGGTGGAGGGGAGTGAGAGAGGAGAGAGGGGGAAGGAGAGAGGAGAGACTAACAAGAAGTGAGGGAGAATGCTGAAGGAGCATGGAAAGGGTGGTGAGACAGAGGGGAAGAGAGTGGAGAGAAGAGAGACACCATGGAGACAGAGACAGATGAGAGGGGGGAGAGAGGGGATAGAGCTATGAGAGAGAGAGAGAGAGAGAGAGAGAGAGAGACATGATGATGATGAAGAGAAGTCTTCTGAGAGAGATGAAGGAAAGAAAGGGGTGATAGAGGTGAGAGTGGAGAGAAGGGAGAGAATGAAAGGAAGGAGAGAGCAAAGACATAGAGGAGAGAGGGTAGACAGAAGATGGGGAGAGAGGCACTTCCAGCATGCTAAACTGTAGGAGCACAGAATCTGGGTACAGAATCCCGTGTGGGTAGAGAATCTGC